ATTTCATGACATTTTTGTTAAATGTGATGTCGTATTAGAAGCTAAAAGCCAAAATGTTCTAAATTCTTTCCTAATTTAATTCTGACAATTTGTGCCTTAACCATATTTTCATACACTTGCTCAGTACATGAATAGATTATTTCTCTCATTATGAGAAAAACTTATCTCCCTATAACTTATTTCTCTCATTATGATTATCTTCTTGATATGCGGAGAGGACCCAATAAATGGGTAAAATTTCTAGTGGACCCTTTTGATAACACGTGCAAGCTTTGTTTTAAAGGAAAAAGTTAAAAGGTAATGATGATAAATTGTGATTTTAGGGTGTGATTATTGGTTAAAGACATATTGGAGATTAAAAGATATGATGATACACTATATCATGTCTTTTTACTACATATAGTTTCGCCACCTTCGGTATAGTCTCATACCTGCACAACCTTTAGATCCCTCATTCCAATGTGAATTCAATTTTTTCCTAGAAGTTGCTATGAGTTTCTCATTGTCATGCCTCGTGCACCGACAACCATTCCCCCGCCATCGGGTGTTACGTGTAACCCCTCTCCACCCTTTTCAGCCTCAGATGTTACAGTGGGGTTTATAGCATAAGGGACTTATTAACAAAGGCTACATCATCTGACAAGTAAACGCCCGTGAATCCCACAAGGAGTAAATCTCCGGAAGTGGATTTCACATCGAGTCACTTATCTTTTCTAGATGAGTCTCTTGGTGACAGATTAATATTAACAATTTCAAGAATTATTTTTGGAATTTCACTTAATAAACGTGATTGTTCTGAAGGAGATTCCAGCTTCATTTTTCGGTCCATATATTCAGCAACTATATGAAAATATGGTTAGGGCACCACCATTTCATGACATTTTTGTTAAATGTGATGTCGTATTAGAAGCTAAAAGCCAAAATGTTCTAAATTCTTTCCTAATTTAATTCTGACAATTTGTGCCTTAACCATATTTTCATACACTTGCTCAGTACATGAATAGATTATTTCTCTCATTATGAGAAAAACTTATCTCCCTATAACTTATTTCTCTCATTATGATTATCTTCTTGATATGCGGAGAGGACCCAATAAATGGGTAAAATTTCTAGTGGACCCTTTTGATAACACGTGCAAGCTTTGTTTTAAAGGAAAAAGTTAAAAGGTAATGATGATAAATTGTGATTTTAGGGTGTGATTATTGGTTAAAGACATATTGGAGATTAAAAGATATGATGATACACTATATCATGTCTTTTTACTACATATAGTTTCGCCACCTTCGGTATGGTACATATTTGTCGATGACGATATTGAAGCATCGCTTACCATTGATTTGTTGGATGACGATGATCCTTGGATCATAACCACTGACTTTACCCCTAGTGAGACCATCAGTCGATGCAGGTTTTATAGAATTTCAATTTCGCGTCGTTACTGTGCCTTAACCATTTTTTCATACACTTGCTCAGTACATGGATAGATTATTTCTCTCATTATGAGAACTTATCTACCTATAACTAATTTCTCTCATTATGATTATCTTCTTGATAACAAATTTTCCAAATAATCACGTTCGACATTCCGCATCTTGCTTCTTTCTAATTAAATAGTGCGAAACAAACTCAGCTTCCATGAATTATTAAAAATTATATCAACATCCAAAATACGATAGATCATAAGTTATACTGAAATGATAAATAAAATAACATAAATCAAAATGCTTCTCTTCTAAATATAGTAGAGAAGCTATACTATTTGCAGTTGCCATGTTAGCATTTGTTAATAAGTCCCTTATGTATTTTTAGTTTGAGAGAGGAGGAGAGAATTCCATCTCTTCATATGAAACTATTGAACTGATAGGTAGGGGGTAACACCTATTGTGATAAGTAGGGGGTAACACCTACTTATCACAGTAGGTGTTACTCCCTACTGTGATAAGTAGGGGTAACACCTACTGTGATAAGTAGGGGGTAACACCTACTGTGATAAGTAGGGGGTAACACCTACTAACATAAGATAGTTCTAATTCAAAAGTGATCCATGTTGAGTTGTTCAAGAATTTTCACTCAAGGACTTGGGGAAACTTGACTACTTTCTTGGTATTGAAGTGCATCACTCTGACTCTGGATCTCTCCTCCTCTCTCAAACTAAAAATACATAAGGGACTTATTAACAAAGGCTACATCATCTGACAAGTAAACGCCCGTGAATCCCACAAGGAGTAAATCTCCGGAAGTGGATTTCACATCGAGTCACTTATCTTTTCTAGATGAGTCTCTTGGTGACAGATTAATATTAACAATTTCAAGAATTAAAATAACATAAATCAAAATGCTTCTCTTCTAAATCAATTTGAGGTCTAGTGACACTAGCATTTTGCAGTCCACCCATAATGGATCTGAAGAAGGTAGGATCAGAGACATGATTTGAACCATATTTGGATAGTTTTGTACGGGAAGCCATACTATTTGCAGTTGCCATGTTAGCCTTTGTTAATAAGTCCCTTATGTATTTTTAGAAGTTCGCTCTGACGTGTTTCGCTGCATGGTCGCCGGGCGAGGAAAGGAGATTCGCCGGGCGAGCTAGGATTCGCCAGGCGAATGTAGATATTTGTTTCAGATGAGAAACGTGGCTTAATGTGAGCCAAGTTAATAAAACAATTCGCCGGGCGAGGGAGAATTCGTCGGGCGAATCCGCGCGATCAGAATTTTGTTCATATTTCATTTTCACTCCATTCTTAGTTTTTTCATGGTTTTGGGGTGGTTTTTGATCCCCAACTTCATCAAATTTTATAGTTTGATAGTATAGCTTAGAAAACCAACACTGATGCTTGCTGATGGATGATTGGAGGTGGATTGCTCTTTGGCAGGTGTTGAAACCAGCGTGATAACAATGGTTTATCTCTTCTAAGTAAACGCCCGTGAATCCCACAAGGAGTAAATCTCCGGAAGTGGATTTCACATTGAGTCACTTATCTTTTCTAGATGAGTCTCTTGGTGACAGATTAATATTAACAATTTCAAGAATTATTTTTGGAATTTCACTTAATAAACGTGATTGTTCTGAAGGAGATTCCAGCTTCATTTTTCGGTCCATATATTCAGCAACTATATGAAAATATGGTTAGGGCACCACCATTTCATGACATTTTTGTTAAATGTGATGTCGTATTATAAGCTAAAAGCCAAAATGTTCTAAATTCTTTCCTAATTTAATTCTGACAATTTGTGCCTTAACCATATTTTCATACACTTGCTCAGTACATGAATAGATTATTTCTCTCATTATGAGAAAAACTTATCTCCCTATAACTTATTTCTCTCATTATGATTATCTTCTTGATATGCGGAGAGGACCCAATAAATGGGTAAAATTTCTAGTGGACCCTTTTGATAACACGTGCAAGCTTTGTTTTAAAGGAAAAAGTTAAAAGGTAATGATGATAAATTGTGATTTTAGGGTGTGATTATTGGTTAAAGACATATTGGAGATTAAAAGATATGATGATACACTATATCATGTCTTTTTACTACATATAGTTTCGCCACCTTCGGTATGGTACATATTTGTCGATGACGATATTGAAGCATCGCTTACCATTGATTTGTTGGATGACGATGATCCTTGGATCATAACCACTGACTTTACCCCTAGTGAGACCATCAGTCGATGCAGGTTTTATAGAATTTCAATTTCGCGTCGTTACTGTGCCTTAACCATTTTTTCATACACTTGCTCAGTACATGGATAGATTATTTCTCTCATTATGAGAACTTATCTACCTATAACTAATTTATCTCATTATGATTATCTTCTTGATAACAAATTTTCCAAATAATCACGTTCGACATTCCGCATCTTGCTTCTTTCTAATTAAATAGTGCGAAACAAACTCAGCTTCCATGAATTATTAAAAATTATATCAACATCCAAAATACGATAGATCTTTGTCTTCATATGAAACTATTGAACTGATAGGTAGGGGGTAACACCTATTGTGATAAGTAGGGGGTAACACCTACTTATCACAGTAGGTGTTACTCCCTACTGTGATAAGTAGGGGTAACACCTACTGTGAGGCGCTTTGGTTCAAGTGTGTGTGGCTGCCCGATTTAATGGTGCATTCTCTTTGATGATTTCTTTTTAGATAATTCGTCGCCTTGCTTGTAAATACTTGTGCACATTGTTTCCATTTGATCCGGACCATTTTTGTGCGTTTTCGTGAAATAATACGTGGCTGCCCGGATTTGACTCGTTTGAGTGTAGTTTACTTTGATTTCAAGTCTCTATGTTTGCGATGAAAATTGAACAATAGCATAAGTTTTTGAGCTTAAATTTGATTGTTATTCATGGCTGCCCGAGTTTTGACATGTATATGTAGAACTTGTTTTTCATATTCTTGAGGTTGATTTAAATTATAACATGATTTTTGAGCCTTATTTGTCATTAGTTTGTGGCTGCCCGGTTTCGTTCTAATTGATTAAAGTTTGATTTGAGTTCATCTTTTCATGATATGTCAATAACAAGAATTTTCACTTCTAATTCCATCTGTGGACCGACCCTTTTGTGATGTTCATGTCTATTAGACTAATTGTATGCTTTTGCATTTCGTTTGTATTTGATCCGAACCGACTTTATATGCATTTTTACATGGTAATACGTGGCTGTTCGGTCTAGGTTCTGTTAACAGGTTAAAAAGGATAGAAGTTGTTTCTATTAGCAACTTAGCAATGATGTTAGGTAAACTAGCAGTCTAGTATACCAAACATCACCAAACAAGTATTGTGAACCTAGCTTGGACACAGCAACACCTAACTGCTATTTAATTAGTGTTGAGATTGAAACTTGTTATTCTCATTTTCCCCCAAATTTTTGGTTGATTTGCATGTACCCATAGATGATAGAACTCGAAAATTTGAGTTGGGTCATGCTTGAATGTTGTTTAATTGATGAATGTGATGAAACTTGACCAGGGATATTGGTAGACCAGAACAAAATGGTTACTTGCACTGAGCACTTGGAAAATTTGCAAAACTGGACATTAGACCAAAGAATTAAAATTCGTCTAGAAGATACCGGTTTTCCACGTTTAAGCGAACTTGCAAAATGTCAACATGATAGCCAGCTTCTGAAATGTGTGGTATCCCATTTCAATACAGAGACATGTGGATTTGAATTTGGTGGTATAAAATTAGTTTTTGGCTTGAAAGATGTTCTCGAAATTACAGGCCAGTCTGTCACTGGGACCGCTGGTGACATGACTTATTGGTCCAACCAATGTTTTGGACAAGATTTGACCTTTAAAAAACAAAGGGCAATTCGAGGAGCCATTAAGCTATCTGTTCTTAGAGAAAAATTTATGGAAGTTCCACCAAGAGCAACTGAAGTTGAACTAGATCGACATACTAGAGCATATGCTCTTTATGTTCTAGGTTCGTCCTTATTCAGTAGTTCTTCTAAGGGGGATGTTGATACTCTCCATCTTCCATTGCTTTATCATGTTGAAAAAATAAAAGATTATGCCTGGGGTGCTGCTGCTCTTGCACACCTATATTGTTCTATGAAAAAAATTAAAGAAGAGGGTAAAAAGCATTTGCACGGGATTGCATTGTCCCTGCAGGTAAGTTATTTTATATTTCCATTCTCCAATTAAAAAAGTATTTCCTTTTAACAATTGAGAAATTAAGTGTCACTTCTTTTTGTTGTGATTTGATAGATCTTTGTATTCCTACATCTGACAAAGATCAAGGACTTACTCATGTTATCGAGTTTGGATTTCGTAAATGAACAACTTCCGTTGATCAATGATTGGTCGCGTCATTTAGAACAATTTACCTTGAACAAATGTAAAAAGGTAGATTATTTGGATTTAATTAGCACAACGACTGCTAAAGAGGTAAGTCTTGTAATTTAACAACACCAATATTTTTATTCGAAGTTTTTGCTTTAATCAATTTAGGAATTGGAAATTGTGTTGCATTTGTAGGTTAACTACAATCCATATGATAATATTCAATTCCCCGACCTGAAAGAATATTCAACTTTCGAGTTGGAAAGAAGGGTATGTTGTAAATCAACCATACAACCATCCTTTCTCATCAACTTTAATGAGGTTGCATTTTTTCAACCCCATAAATTTAAAAAACAATATTCTAATGCACGTGCCGGGGATAGAAAATGCACATACAAATGGAAATTGTACCCAAGAAGAGGTACAAAAGGGAAAAATTGGCAAGAGACGAAAAAGCATACAAAATATCTCAAGCATTGGAGCATAAGTTGTTTTAGTAAAAGACCACAACCTGGTATGTTTCTAATTCTACAGTCTTAAAAATAAAAATAGTTTCTGTATTTGCACACGTCTTTATATGAAACTAAGACTTACTTCAGTTTAACTACTTTGTGTTGATACAAATTACTTAAAACAAATTTTTTCAGAGGAACAACAACCCGAAAGAGTACAAGATGTTCGAACAGAAGAGCCAATTGAGGTGGAACACCATAATTTGGATGATGGTATAATTCTTTTCTCTACACCAGTGGGAGTTTTCCTTATTATTATCGTTTTGTATTATGTTTGTCAAAATATAAAAATTAATTATTAGCAGGACAAAAACCTCAATATCGTTGACAGCTGTCTAAGCTAGATTAGCTAAGTCTACTAAGCTAGGATTATACAACTAACTTAGACTAATCTTATTACATTATCTAATAAGTTTATACTACATTGTGCTTACACCCATCATATGGCATTCTCGAATAAGTTTGTTAAGAACGTGTGGTTGGGCCTAACTCAACCCTACAAAACCGGCTTGTAGGGTGAGGATTTCCCCCACTTATAAACATATGTTCATGCCATATATTGTCCGATGTGGGACTCTTAACAAAGTTTATACTACATTTTGCTTACACCCATCATATGGCAGTCGTGGACAATCAAGAAAAGCATTGTGGAAGGAAAAGAAAAAGCATATGGAGTTCAAAAGAAAATGAAGTTGCTCATGAGGAGGGTATAATTCTTTCCCTTACCTCACTAATCCTTTTTTTATTATCATAATATTTAATATTTAATCACCCTTTTCTTTCTTTTTTTTATCTTTAAAACGATGCGTTTCATGACTATTATGTCACCAACATGAGTGGTTGTATTGAAGATGCAGGAGATAACAATGAAGATGGGGGAAGAAACAAAGACCAAGGAGACACTAGGCAAGTGGAAGCAACATGTACCCGTTTGTCTGTTTCTAGAGTGTATATACGCCGCCGCAAAGGGAGTAACACGGGAAAAATGAAAACCAGTGAAGATGTGACGGTTGGCATTAAGCACTCCCTATATCTGCTGAAAGAACTACTTCCATGTTTAAAACAGTTGAGTCACGAAGAAATGATTGAGAAAGAGATAGAGGCTAGCAGACAAAGTATGTTTTCCTTTAAGAATTTCAGTTTAGTTTTTTCATGTATGGATCTATGTTGTTTCATGAATAAATTTGTCAACAACCACCTAAAACCACCTAATAAATGGCTTGTGCACGGCCACCTACCTTGTGCTGAAATTCAATCAAATTTTATTAGAAGTATGGGGGCGACAAGTATCAAACTCTAGACTACTTAGTCATAGAGGCTCTGGTACCATGTCTATAACCACCTGTCCCCAAAGCTTAGGCTGTCAGGTGAAGGCAAGTTAAAATGATGCTGATATTGAGCTAAATTTGATCAGGGTATGTGTTCCAGTAGAATTGTCTGTTTTATAAACTTTGACTTTTGAACCCTATGACTGTTGGCCTTTGGATTACTTACCTATTTGATATCCTGCTTTTTACTATTTTTATTGTATGTTTTGTTGGATTATAGGTCCAGTTTGCCTCTCATCTTATGCCCTAGTTAATACTAATTTCTAATAATTATTAATTTCATCCCATATATGTTCAGTTTTTAATTTGCTTTTGGGATGTTCGTTACAGGGCTCTTAGTCTCACAGCTATGTATAGCAGAGCTAGATGACTCGGGCGGAGACCGGGTGTTCTGGTGGGGAATTATTCAATCTATTGTTCTCTTGTAGTTATCCTCATGTTTTATAGCTGTTTACTTAACCCTTTTTTTTGTAGTGACAAATGCAAGACGTCAATATTTGCCCTCCACAAACATTGTCAGACATGCAATAGTGACTTTTGTCTCGCCTGTTGTCGTGACTTTTGTGATGCGCAGCTTCGAGGTGGTGCTGATCCAATTGAGTCACATGTTACTGCCAAACATGGGGTTCACAAACGGCCAAGATCTGATAAGCATGAGGATAGTGATGACAGAGTTTGCTGTGATGGGTTTCTTGAACTGAGAAGCTTCTATCCTCCAAGTCACATTGCTGATTTGGTAGATGAAGCAAAAAAATTTGTAGACAAATACATGCATCGCATGCCTGTGATTTCAGACAAAACTCATAAGAACTTGCATTCAAGTTTGAATCGTAAGGCAGCATCTCGTAAAGAGTCAAGCGATAACGATATATATTGTCCGGAGGCTAAAAATACATGTCCTGAGGATTTACTACATTTTCAATGGCACTGGAGAAAAGGGGAGCCAGTAATTGTCAGGGAACTGCTTGGAGGTACTTATAATTCATTATGGAATCCATCAAGCATGAGCCGTGCAATCTGTCAGAAGCACAAGACTGTGAAGGTTGATAGCCATTTCATCGTGGAGACTGTCACCTACCTTCGTAACAGCCTCCTATTGTACTTAGATTGTTCAAATCATGTCTCTGATCCTACTTTTCTTATATTATTGGATTGCTCTTTGGCAGGTGTTGAAACCAGCGTGATAACAGTGGTTTATCTCTTCTAAGTAAACGCCCGTGAATCCCACAAGGAGTAAATCTCCGGAAGTGGATTTCACATCGAGTCACTTATCTTTTCTAGATGAGTCTCTTGGTGACAGATTAATATTAACAATTTCAAGAATTATTTTTGGAATTTCACTTAATAAACGTGATTGTTCTGAAGGAGATTCCAGCTTCATTTTTCGGTCCATATATTCAGCAACTATATGAAAATATGGTTAGGGCACCACCATTTCATGACATTTTTGTTAAATGTGATGTCGTATTATAAGCTAAAAGCCAAAATGTTCTAAATTCTTTCCTAATTTAATTCTGACAATTTGTGCCTTAACCATATTTTCATACACTTGCTCAGTACATGAATAGATTATTTCTCTCATTATGAGAAAAACTTATCTCCCTATAACTTATTTCTCTCATTATGATTATCTTCTTGATATGCGGAGAGGACCCAATAAATGGGTAAAATTTCTAGTGGACCCTTTTGATAACACGTGCAAGCTTTGTTTTAAAGGAAAAAGTTAAAAGGTAATGATGATAAATTGTGATTTTAGGGTGTGATTATTGGTTAAAGACATATTGGAGATTAAAAGATATGATGATACACTATATCATGTCTTTTTACTACATATAGTTTCGCCACCTTCGGTATGGTACATATTTGTCGATGACGATATTGAAGCATCGCTTACCATTGATTTGTTGGATGACGATGATCCTTGGATCATAACCACTGACTTTACCCCTAGTGAGACCATCAGTCGATGCAGGTTTTATAGAATTTCAATTTCGCGTCGTTACTGTGCCTTAACCATTTTTTCATACACTTGCTCATTACATGGATAGATTATTTCTCTCATTATGAGAACTTATCTACCTATAACTAATTTCTCTCATTATGATTATCTTCTTGATAACAAATTTTCCAAATAATCACGTTCGACATTCCGCATCTTGCTTCTTTCTAATTAAATAGTGCGAAACAAACTCAGCTTCCATGAATTATTAAAAATTATATCAACATCCAAAATACGATAGATCTTTGTCTTCATATGAAACTATTGAACTGATAGGTAGGGGGTAACACCTATTGTGATAAGTAGGGGGTAACACCTACTTATCACAGTAGGTGTTACTCCCTACTGTGATAAGTAGGGGTAACA